GCAGATGGTAATTTTGTCAGTGCCGATTGTGTTTAAGTGCAGGCCAAGGTCTTTAGGCACTGCACCCAGTGTGCTGATCACCACTGGGACCACCTTTACTGGCTTGTGCCAGAGTCTTTGCAGTTCGATCTTTAAATCCTTGTATCGTGTCAGCTTTTCCAGTTGTTTCTCTGCAATCCTGCTGTCACCTGGGATTGCAACATCGACAATCCATACTTTGTTTTTTAACATGATTGTGAGGTCAGGAGTATTGTGCTCCAAAACTCTGTCTGTCTGAATTCAAAAGTCCCAGAGTAGTTTGATGTGTTCATTCTCTTTAACTTTTTCCAGCTTGTGATCCCACCAGTTCTTTCTCGCAGACACATGGTATTTGTGGCACAAGTTCCAATGAATCATCTGAGCAACGGTGTTATGCCTCTGCTTGTAGTCTGTCTGTGCGATCTTCTTGCAGCAGCTGAGGATGTGATCTATTGTTTCATCTGCTTCCTTGCAGAGTCTACACTTGGGATCTGTTGTTGACTTTTCAATTCTGGCTTTGATGGCATTGGTTCGAATGGCTTGTTCTTGGGCTGCCAGAATCAGGCCCTCCTTTGTCTCCTGTTTCAGAGTCCCATTTGTGAGCCACAGCCATGTTTTTTCTTTGTCAATTTGGCTCTCAATTTTTCCCAGGAACTGTCCATGGAGAGGCTTCTTTTGCCAGTTTTCTCTCCTGCTCTGGATTGTGTTTTTCTGGTATTTACTCTTTGTCATTTGCATAAGGAGTTTACTACTATTGACTACCCTCAATCATAATAATAATAATAATTATTATTATTATTATTATCATTGTTATTATTATTAGCTTAGGGGGAAAGGAAGACTTATTAGAGAATATAAAATTATACAAAGCATACAGAAAGTAGGTGGCCAAGTTTTTCTCCTCTCCATAACACTTTTTGTTGTTCATTTGTTCAGTCGTTTCTGACTCTTCGTGACTTCATGGACAGTCACGCCAGAGCTCTCTGTCAGCCGTCACCACCCCCAGCTCCTTCAAGGTCAAGCCAGTCACTTCAAGGATACCATCCATCCATCTTGCCCTTGGTCGGCCCCTCTTCCTTTTTCCTTCCATTTCCCCCAGCATAATTGTCTTCTCTAAGATTTCCTTTCTTCTTATGATGTGGCCAAAGTACTTCATCTTGGCCTCTACTATTCTTCCCTCCAATGAGCAGTCAGGCTTTATTTCTTGGAGTATGGACTGGTTGGATCTTCTCTCTGTCCAAGACACTCCCTAACATTAGAACCCTCTTGAAACTGAATAGGAGAGGTTCAAGAGAAACAAAAGGGCGTCACGCTTTACATAGCTGAGCTGTGGAATCAGCTACCATAAAATGTAGCAAGGAAGAGAGACGCTTTTGAGCTGTGGTGCTGGAGGAAAATCCTGAAAGTGCCCTAGACTGTGAGAAGATCAAACCAGTACATACTCCAGGAAATAATGCCTGACTCCTCACTGGAGGGAAGGATATGAGAGGCAAAGATGAAGTAGTTTGGCCACATCATGAGAAGACAGGAAAGCTTGGAGAAGAGACTGATGCTGGGGAAAATGGAAAGAAAAAGGAAGAGGGGCCGACCAAGGGCAAGATGGATGGATTTATTTATTTACTTAATTATTTACAGCTTTTATATTCCGCCCTGCTCACCCCGCAGGGGACTCAGGGCAGATTACAGTGTACACATATATGGCAAACATTCAATGCCAATTTTGACATACAACATATACAGACATACACAGAGGCTATTTAACTTTTTCTGGCCGCCAGGGGAGCTGTCGCTTTCATCGTCCATCTGCGACGCTGATGAAGCACTTCCGCATTCCCCGCATGCTTCCCCACTGTAATGCTTTGCTGGAGTCTTCTTTATGGCCTCATAAATCAGTTAATTTAGCCTCCCCACACTTTAAGGTGGTACCTAATTTTCCTACTTGACAGATGCAACTGTCTTTCGGGTTGCAAAGGTCGACAACAGGCTACACAATTGGTTGAAAACCCACTCCAACCCGGGCTGGCTTCGAACTCATGACCTTTTGGTCATAGTGATCTTAATGCAGCTGACACTCAGCCTGCTGCGCCACAATCCCGGTGGATGGTATCTTAAAGTGACTAGCTTGACCTTGAAGGAGCTGGGGGTGGCCACAGCCGGCAGGGAGCTCTGGCGTGGGCTGTTCCAGGAGGTCACAAAGAGTCGGAAGCGACTGAACGAATCAACAACAACACCAACAAAAGGAACAGAATGCTGGCCGATATCGGCCTCTGGTCCGATCCAGTGTAAGCACTCTTATGCAGGGCTGTCCAAGAAAAGAAAAAACCAACAGCACACGCTGTAACAGAACCTGCCCTGTCAGATAAAGTGAAGGATATTTCTCAAAGCCAAGGCACAAAGTAAGTTCCACACACAGAGGTTGCTTTATGTTCCTAAGAACTGACATCAAAAGGATTATGGTGCTTTAGCAGCATAGCTGACAAACTATTAAGCCATGATGTTGAAACAGCCACCGAGTTAAAAGCCGGAGCTTTTCCTTTCACACCTGGGAATGAGTTGCTTATCTCAGGCTAGGATCTCTTTCCAGGAACACGCCAAATCCGTCCACTGGCAGCCCCCACGTCCAAGCCTACTTTAAAAAAAAATAGCTCCCCAGTAAAAGGGTGTTTCAGCACCACTGATGGCTATCGGCTCCTGCTTTACAAAAACCTCTTTTATTCCTCTTCCAATACTGGTTCATGCATTGGCTATCCAAGGCCTCCTGTTACAAGCTTTACTTTCATCCGATTCCAGATACTGGTCAATAACGCATCTGGTTGCTTTTAATCAAAGATTGAACTTTTTACCAAGCTATGAAAAGAGAAACCATTTAGAAAAATAATTTGCAGAGCAAGCATTTACATGCGTGCTCAACCGTAAACCTACTGAATTTACTCATGGGTAAATAGGGATAGAACTAGTCATAAATACTTTAATGAGAGCTGATCAGATTATCAAACAGAACTGTTGAGCATCAAATCTATATAAATAAAAAGGTAATGTTCGTTTGTGGGATTAACATAACTCAAAAACCACTGGACAAATTGACACCAAATTTGGACACAAGACACGTATTAGGCCAATGAGTGACCATCACTCATAAAAACACTGAAAAACACAGCAGAAGAGACTTAAAAAGCCAAAAATAAAAAAATACATTACAATGCATGCATAAAACCACACACACGCACACACTGCTGGCACGGCTGTGCCAGGAGATTTGAATTTCCTTTTCTTGCACTGTTAGTTTGCATGAATTTATTTAGCCATGCATTTTAAAATAAGGAAGCTTCCCTCAGGTTGCAATCACAGGGCCAACAACCTATGAATCATCATTAGAGCCTTTAGATCCGCCCCTTTCCCCAGGTTTGGAGGGAAAAGGGGACTTTTAGTTCAGTCTCACAGTTTGGAGCCTTACAGCAGGACGTGTGGGCTTTCTCTGCCCCACCTGTAAAAAGCTTCACTTCTTACAGCTTTGCTGGGGAAAATAGGAAAGGTCTTATAGCTTTTGCTGGGGAAAAAGGAAAACCTCTACAGCTTTGCTGAGGAGTAAAGTTACAGTTTCACAGCCTTGCTGGAGGAATATAGCCAGCCTTTGCTGGGGTGAAAGAAATAGTTCCAACAGCCTTCGTGGAGAAACTAAAGGACACCAGCTTGGCACATCTACAGCAACCATTGCCTGGTATGGGACCACTCGGGCTATCCATAACACAGCTTGGAGCCGGGAGTTGGGGCCTCACTCCAGCAGGGTAAAGAAAGTTTGCCCAAGGAAGGGTCGGAAGGTTTCCCTAAAGAAGATAGGAACAGTTTATCAAGCAGTTGCCTGTCCCTTGTCGGCAGATCGAGAAAGCTACTAGTTTTTCAAGATTATATAGCATTTAATTCGTTTGTTCGAAGATTTAAGCCTTAATAAAGATATTTGTTGAACCTATTTTGAGCCTCTACAGAACTTTGTGTTGGGAAACCTATGGGACCCTTTAGCTGAGGCACCCCGGCATCCCGTTGGTCATAGAGAAAGCAAGTCCTGTAAACAGACATTGTCATAGGCCCAGTGCGCAACAACACACACACACACACACACACGTATATATATCACATATATACACATATATACACACATAATACATATACACAGACTGGGCCACAGCAACGTGTGGCAGGGGATGGCTAGTCATTTATAAAAATGAACAATTCAACGGGAAAGTAATTTACCAAGTTTTGTTGGTGATCATAGTTATCCTATGTAAACATCTCTAGATGTTGGCATTAGAGTGAGGCAAAAATTCTGAGTGAGAGAAAGTAAGCCAAGGCCAAGCTCCAAAGAGCATTTTAAACATATATCAGATGGCTCATGATACCTCATAAATGTTTTGAAAAAGCCTAAAGATCCACGGGGTTCACCACTGCTTCAAATTTAATTCTGTTCTGAATTAGATTTGTCCACCAGAAATATATACTTTCTGTACATATTTCAGATTTCAATATTAATGTCAAAAATACATAGTAGGATTTTACATAGGATTTTGTGCTACATTAGAATAATAAATACAGATATCCTTAAGTAAAATGAAATAAGGTGTAAACACTAAACTAATCTGGGAATCTGCTATTGCAACACATCCAATGAAGTGGTTATAAAAAAGATTAGGACAAAGTACGTTCCAGAAGCACGCCACCCTGAGTTGCCTTCGGGCTGATATGGGCGGGATAAAAGTGACGTAAATAAATAAATAAATAAATATTCTACCCGTTCCGTTACTCCTGAATGAGTCATATACATTAAACAAAAATGGCTGTGCTCTTTCCAACTGGTTCAACACTCAGATTGTGTGAGCATGTGAAAGCAGTTACAATACTTCATTGTCCTAAAACTGGGGGTAGGGAGCATCTGAAATTGTCAGTAGACAATTGAAAAGGTTGATTAATTCCCAGGAACCTGTACTTACTGATCTGTGGCGATGGCAGGACTCGGGCAGCACGAACAGGGCCATGTCGGATGGAGTAGAGTTCCTGAGCCTCCCCGCTTATCTGAGTGACAAAACAAAACACATACACCTTAGCAAAGACCCTGTCTTCAATCGCTTCAAACTGGAAAGGGAAGTGTGCGGATGCTTTAAATGTCTTATCCCAGAAAAACATTTTTTCTCTTATTCAAAGTTCTCAGTAATTCGTCACACTGCTTTAGAATGTTTGCTTTTCCCCCAAGAAATTGACATTGTGGTTCAAATCCAAGGAGCAGGGTGAGCTCTTGCTATTAGCCCCAGCTTCTGCTAACCTAGCTGTTTGAAAACATGCCAATGTGAGTAGATCAATAGGTACCACTTTGGCAAGAATTATTTATTTCCAACATTTCTACCCCGTCCTTCTCAACCCCTGAAGGGGGACTCAGGGCGGCTTACAATGGCAGCAATTTGATGCCGACAACATACAAAATACTTTACAACAACATTATATTGTAATATAACATATTGTATATACATATAATATTTATAATATTATAATGTAATACAATATAATACTAATAATAATATGATATTATAACTATATATTTTATATTACATGTAATATCACAATAATATTACAATATAATGGTATAGTACAATATAGTAATATAGAATACTTATATTGTACAATGCAAATAATATAATGTATGTATATATATCTTGTAGGGCGGCATATAAATGAAAATAAATAAATAAATAATTCAATAGATAAAAGAAGTCGACACTCTGTTTCCGCAACCAGCGTCTCACAGTTCTCTCAACATCTTCATCAGAAGCATAATGATGTCCCCGCAGATCTTCTTTCATTATCGAGAACAGATGGAAGTCAGATGGTGCTCAATCCGGACTTTATGGAAGATGTCGTAGGGTGGTGAGATCCAGTCTCTGAAGTTTCAAGTCTGTGCACTTTCATTTCAAGCGTCAGCATCCTGGGTACCCATCGTTCACAGATCTTCCAATAGCCAAGAAAAGCAATAATGTGACCCACACGTTCTTGTGAAATGCCGATTATGCTTGAAATTTCTCTCTGAGTGATACGACGCTCGTCCTGAATCAATCTGTCCACCTTTTGTTGTGAAACTCGGTGGTTGCTGTCACAGGACAGACAACTCTTGGTTTGTCACGCAAGTCAGATGTTCCCACCTCAACATTTTCAAACTTACTTGCCCAACGACGCACAGTACTCACATCAACACAATCACCATAAACAACTTGCATTCTCGGATGAATCTCCTTTGGGGTGACACCTTCTGTTGTCAAGAATTCCATGACTGCACGTTGCTTAAGTCGCATTGACTAAACGTCTGCGCAGGTTTCCATACTTCACACTATAACAACACAACCATTCCATGTTAAGGCTTCATGCCAAAATGGAACTGTAGAAGAGAGTCTACTGAACAAGCCAGTACCTGCCACATACCATTACTGTCATCTGTTGAGGAGTTACGAAGATGAAGGCATTACTTTTCATTCAACCCTCATAGATCCAGAAAAGTTCTTCTTTGGTTCCTATGACAGACCTGGATCGTCTCTTATTTGTGTTTGCCATGAGAAATGTCATGGCTCTGAAGATAATTCAGTTGTTTCTTTGCTTCTCCAAACCGCAGGTCAAAGGAGAGCTGTGTGGGACTGTTATGGTCAACAGAGGTTCCCATTCCTGCCAAGTGAATTTTCAAACCGCGCTAAATACAGGACCATTAACAGAAAGAAAACAGGCTGCAGTCCACAGAAAATGTGGTATAATACATTTGTTGGCCTTTATGGGGCCACGGGACTTTGTTGGTTTTGCTGCAACAAGCGAACATGATTGCTTAGTTAAGAAATAATGCCTAGATTTCCTGTAAACGATTCCACACAAAACGTTTTCAGAACTGTTTAGTAATGAGATGTGATACACAATGTCAAATTCTTGGGGAGGAAAGCAAACATTCTAAAGCAGTGTGACAAATTACTGAGAACTTTGAAACAGATGCAATGAGGTTAAACTTTTAAAAAGCAATCTGCTGACATAAAACAATCTTGGAAGGAAGAAAGTTCACAAAATACACGGTTTGCAACATCTGAGACGTAAGCAAGCTGATATAAAGCACTTATAAATTCGGCAACATAAAGCCATGCACACAGCCTGACAGCTTCAGGTGTTGCCATTGTTTGTCTCTCCAATTTCTTCTTGATGTCTTGAGTTACACATTCAGGATAGCAACATGACACAAGCTCACACTGTTCCATAGAAATGCCAAAGACCTTTATTCCCATTTCTTTAGCTACTTCAAAGACCTTATTCAAATTAAAATTCCTACATCAAATTAATATAATATGATGTTAAGGTTTAATTTATATTTATAGTAGATTGGGGACCTGGTGGTGCCCAAGTTATTTGAAAAAGGCATTGTTTGTTTTGCGGTGTTAGGTCATATCATAATCCGTAACACTATTTATTAGAAAAACACAGTATTTGGTTTGGTTTTGTATATATGATCCCATTAGAAAATGCAGAAGGATGTGGGTGAACTACAATTCCCAAAACTGTGAGTCAATCCTCCCCAAACCAGGCCTGTATGCATAGTTGGCCATGTTGCATCTGTGTGCCAAGTTTGGCCCAGATCCGACATTAGCTGGGTTCGGTGCTCTCACTTCATCTGGAAGTGAGTGAAGGTACTGCAAATCCCATCATCCATGACATATGTGGTCCAGATCCATCACTGTTTGGGTTTCTGGTGCCCTCTCGATGTAGGTGAATTAAAACTCCTATAAATCAAGATCAATTCCTGCCAAACCTTTTGCTCAGTTGCTGATCAATTCCTGTTTGCTGTATGCCGTAGGAAAGGGTTAAGGGAAAGGCAGTGGGCAGGGTTGTGTAAATTCCAAACCAATGGAGACAGAGAAAGGAACCCTGGGATGTCCATTCTGGAGGCAAAACAGAACATCTAGGATGAAATTGTCCCAAATGAAAGCATTCCTTGGGTAGTGGGAAGTATGGTGTTTGGATTAGGTTTTGGGAGACATGTTCATGTTAATGGTGTAACCTGAAATGTCCTTGGAGGGAGGGCTTTTGGTGGCTCTTCAGCACTGTGGGTTATAGCTCTTTGTGGAGGCTGGAGGCTGTCTGTGTAAGTGGACACCTCCACCACATACAAACATACACAATTTTCACTTTTATTATGTGTATAGGTAAAGGTAGTCCCCTGACATTAAGTCCAGTCATGTCTGACTCTGGGGTGTGGTGCTCATCTCCATTTCTAAGCTGAAGAGCCAGCATTGTCCGTAGACACCTCCAAGGTCATGTGGCCGGCATGACTGCATGGAGCGCCATTATGTGTATATTATGTGTATAGACACATGTTATTGTTTTAGTTATTATGCTTTGGTTTCGTGTATATGTTGGCATTGAATCTTGCCAATACTTCTTGTATACCTCTTTGAGTCCCCCCACAAAGTGGTATATAAATGCAGTAAGTAAATAAATAATAATAATTAACATATTAGTCTGTCATCTTAACTCTTTTAATGTATATTAGAAAGGGTGAGAGAGTCAACATGGCATAGCATGTTGGACTATGACCCTGCTGACAATGAAAACCCACTGGGTGATCCTGGGCACTCTTGGTCTCAAAAAACCCTTTGATAAAGTCATCAAAAAACTGAAAATGAAGGCAGGTAATGGTAGGTAAAGGTTTTCCCCTGACATTAAGTCCAGTTGTGTTCGAATGTGGGGGCTGGTGCTCATCTCCATTTCTAAGCCAAAGCGCTGGCGTTGTCCGTAGACACCTCCAAGGTCATGTGGCCAGCACGACTGCAGGGAGTTCAGTTACCTTCCCGTTGAAGCAGTACCTATTAATCTACTCACATTTGCATTTTTTCGAACTGCTAGGTTAGCAGAAGCTGGGGCTGACAGCGGGAGCTCACGCCGCTCCCCGGATTCAAACCTGTGATATTTCGGTCAACAAGTTCAGCAGCTCAGCAGTTTAACCCACTGCGCCACCAGGGGCTCCGAAAATGAAGGTACATAACAACAAAAGAAAGGATCAGGCTGCTCTACCCTTATAATGTTTTTCTTCAATTAATACTGATCCTATTGAGGATTATAACAATATTTTTCTGCCTGTGGTTTGGTTCTTTTAAATTCACCTTAGTAAGATGGGCATTTCCACTGTTGCTAGGGTCTAGCAGAGGATCTAGCAGAGGTCTAACTAAGGATCTAGCAGATCTTTCTCTCCAGTCCATCCCTACTAATGTGTTCCCAATCAAGTAAGACTGTTTCTCCAACAACAACAGCAACAACAACAATAATGGGTGCCATGCCAAAAAATCTCAGCCAGCATTTGGAAACAATAAACATTGACAAAATCACTGTCAACTGCAAAAGGCCACCTTACTTGGATCTGCGCGCATCATTCACAAATACATCACACAGTCCTAGATGCTTGGAAAGTGGTCGACTTGTGATTTTGTGATACGAAATCCAGCATATAGATCTCGTTTGCTGTGATATACTGTATTTTTGTGTCAGTAAAATAATAATAATAATAATAATAATAATAATAATAATAATAATAATAATAATATCTTTATTTACACCCCGCCACCATCTCCCTGAAAGGGACTCGGGGCGGCTAACATGAGGCCAAGCCCAGAATTACACTACAACAAAATAAAATAAAATACATAAAATAACAGCAAAAGAAATAAACAGATGCAGAATAATGTGACGAAAAAATAAAATAAAAACAGTGGGTGGCCCAAATGCACAGAATAAGATTGATAAAACCCTGGGTGAGATAAGTAAATGGAGAAATATGTGTCTGTGGAGGAGCTCAGAAGGGGCGAAAAATGGAATTGAACCTTCATTAAAAGACAAAGAAAAGTGTGTCATGAGGACAGAGCTATACTTGGGACAGACATGTTATGGGGATATGTGTTCACTCGTCAAAGGCACGCTGGAAGAGCCAGGTTTTTCGGTATTTCTTAAAGGCTACTAGGGTGAGACCTTGCCTAATCTCACTGGGTAGCGAGTTCCAAAGCCGA